AGAAATGAACCCTGTTATTTGCTTCTCTCCCTCTAGGTGGCGACTGTCCACTAGTTTGTCACCAGAAGAAGAAGAAACCGGAAGTGAAAGCAGGCGTCCTGTTTAAATGTCGTTAACGGCTCAAAGCTGAGTGTTGTTCACACTGAAGGTTATAAAGAACAGGTTATAGATCATATAGAACAAGTTATAGATTCTATAGAACAAGTTATCAAGTTATAGTTTCTATAGAAAAGCTCCAGACTCGTCGTCTCGGTTCCTCGAGCAGCTGATGTCAACATCTTGGTGTGACTGGATCTCAGAGGAGGTGAGAGAAGTTTCTGCTCTTTACTTTAACAACACGCGAGGACTCATCAGCACACGAATCAACAGAAGAACACAGGAGCTGCTTCTCGTCTGTGGGTCAGAGCTTCATCATTCGGTGTCAGCTTCTCTTTCGGCTGAAGAACCTGAAGAACTCTGCAGCAGGTTCCTGTGAGCACTGTTTTTAAAGTGTGTCACACAACAGAGGGAAACTTCAGCTGCTCTCAGTTCTCCTCTGCTGAATGAAGTGTTGCTACGCTAACAGCTTTATAGCTCGTATCGTTTTTAATAAACACGTTTATCTGAAATAAATCAGACCTTTATAAACTGCTTAAGAGAAACAATAAAGAATATAAATATCAATGAAATCTCCTCTGACACGTGTCAGACCCCCTCCTGCTTTTTCTCCACGTCTGTGTTTGTGTCGTTCTTCTACAACACGTTTGCTGTTTGTCTCCCCGTCAGGTTTCACTCCACCTCCTGGACGTGAAGCTGGAAACATCATGGACAACCTGGATTTCTCCGAAGAGGAGATTCAAGAGCAGCTGGCGCTCCTCGGCTACAGAAACATACCAACGCACAGGCTGCATGAATTCAAGCAAGGTCCCCCTGAAGCTTCCGTCCTCTGACGCTCTCATTCTGCCTCGCAGCTCGTTCATGATCACATTATTAAACAAATGAATAGAGATTGATAGAGTTTTTTTTAAAGCATCTCTTGAAAATATATGAGAACCTCCATGTTTACACGATCTCTCTTTGTGTCAGATCTTGATGAACTGATTCGACGTGGAGAATGGAAAACTCTGGCGTCACCCACCCAGACAGACGTCACCAGAACTCACCCAGCCTCGGCTCAGCCCAGTCCTCCTGCCTACACCAAAGAAAAAGGTCAGGACGTTGAATTTTTAAAATGCTTTTCTCTTCACCCAACAACTGTTGTCGGTAAACTGGTGAATTGTGTATTTTTTTTCCTCCACAGTTAGTCAGAGCTACTTTCAAGGCAGCGATGAGGGATTTTTCTTGCATCCGTCCAAAACATTCCACGAAAGTCAGGTGAGTATTTACAATATACTACATTTGATTGTCCTGATTAAATATAGACAACATCGTGTCACATACAGGATTCAGCAGCTCTAAATATCGGTGTTTGATTTCAGAGAAAATGTCATTTAATGTCAGATCGGTGTTGTTGTTTTTTTGTGATTTTGTACATTTTGAACATGTTCTAACCTTATTAACCGTGTGACTGTGACGAGAAACTGATACGAAACACCCTCTGAGTCTGACACTTGAGTAATAACATCTGTTTAACACACAGCTGCACACCACGAGTCAGAACAGACGATGTGTACAGCAGCAGGGAAACTGTGACTCTTACGCCCGACACTCGGTGGCTCCAAAGCTCCAGCTGCCCTCAGGAGCCCCCAGCAGGCGGCAGGTGGAGCAGGACCCCGAGGACGCCCTCCACCCGTCATTCACAGACAGCTACACATCTCCTGACTCCCAGGGGCGACGCCTAATCAAGAGGAAAGTCCTCAGGTAATTCTTTAATAAGATATGAGTCACGTCCATTTATCCTGCCGACAGGAAGGATCATTCACTCATTCGTTAGTTAGTCCAGAGTTACGTTTTATTTGTCGTTGCGGCCGAACATGAACACTGACGGGTTTTTTTCCACTTAAAGGAAACACGAAGGACAATCTCTCGTCTGCGATGAATCGTTCTACAGTGAAGACTCAGGTAAAGTCAACTCAAAATCCTCTGATCAACAGTTTTTGTTTCCAATCTTTACATACAATAGTTATAATTATCTTTATTTACAGAACATGTTTCAAAAGCCGAATAAAAATCTGCAAAGTATAAAATCAAATGTAAAACTTATTCAAACAGGCGTCAACTGGAGCAGATTAAAGTAAATCTATTCTGGTAAAGTATAAAAAACTAATTCAGCTAAATCACAGAAATTAAAAATATGTTTCAAAACGAAACTAACTCTGTGTTGTCAATTAAGAGAATCTGGATTTTCTTTATCTTCAGATGTTAAATACAGTTTTTTATAGCTGCTTTACATTTTAGAGGATTAGAAATCATGCAGGTTGTTATTTACACTTTTGAATCACAAAATAAAAACTAGAATGGCATTCTAGTATATTTACACATGCAATATATCTATATATATATATATATATATATATATATCTATATACAAACCTCCACCAAGGCAACAAACAGTCAAGTTAAATCAAGCTGCACCAAATTACTCATAGATTCCAGTCCCCTAAATGTGATTTGGAATTATTCTCTGAAATCAGTAAAAATGTCTCACAATGTGAAGGAAAAGGATAAAAGATTCCCGGCTCCTTTGTCTGGTCCCGTCCTCCCTCCGAGTTTCATGGGAATCCGTTCAGTTGTTTCTCAAGGTTCAAGATTTCTTCATTTGTCCCAAAGGAAACGTGTCTGCACGGGGGCGAGAACTTCACATCACACAACAATAATAAATATACGGTGGGATTGAGTGATGGGAAATTTTATAAAAGGAAGCAATAACAACAAAGCACAGATGTAATACTTTTGGTCACCAGCAGCAGGAGCTGTTTCGGCCGTGAAAGGAAGCTTGGATTTCAGCTTAATCCTCTTAGCTCCTTTCTTAAGCCCTTTGCCTCCACAGCTCACTCTGCACACACCTCAACACAGTGAAGGTATCTAACATGTACAAGATGTACAACGCTCAGTGGGACGAGGAGAGCGAGGACGACAAGAATTCTCTCAACTCCTCCTTTTGGTCTGACGAGGAGAAGCAGCAGGAGGAGGAGGAGGAACAGGTGGAGATAGAGCGAGTGGTCAGTGAAGAAGAATCCAAAGTTGTAGCCAAGACGGCAGAGGCGACTTTAGAGAAGGGAAATGGAAATAGTGATGAAGAGGGGGGTGAGATTAAGAGAGTGGTTAAAGAAGAAGAGTTGAAACCTGTGGACGAGGAAGTGGAATCTTCACAGGAGGAAAAACCTGACATGAAGAACCAGGAGAACTTCACCAGAGAGAGTTCTGAAGATGGAAGTGATGAGGAGGTGGAGGAAGAAGAGGTGGCGGATGATGAGGAAGAGGGAAGTGATGATGATGAGGAGGAGGAAGAAGAGGAAGATGAGGGGGAGGCGACTGAACAAGAGGTTAATGAAGACGAGTCCAAACTTGTTGCAGAGGAAGAGGAGTCTTTCCAGGAGGATTCAGAGGAGGAAACACCGGAGGTGAAGAACCAGGAGAACTTCACAGGAGAGAGTTCAGAAGATGAAAGGGAGGAGGAGGAGGAGGAGGAGGAGGAAGAAGAGGGGGAGATTGAGAGAGTGGTAAGTAAAGAAGAGTCCAAACCTGTAGACGAAGCTTCACAGGAAGCTTCAGAAGAGAAACAAACTGACATGAAGAACCAGGAGAACTTCACCCAGGAGAGTTCTGAAGATGGAAGTGATGAGGAGGTGGAAGAAGAAGAAGAGGGGGCGGATGATGAGGAAGATGGGAGTGATGAGGAAGAAGGGACGGAGGACGAGGAAGAGACGAAACAAGAGTTTAATGAAGAAGAATCCAAACTTGTTGCAGAGACAGAGGACTTTCTCCTGGAGGCTTCAGAGGAGGAAACACCTGAGGTGAAGAACCAGGAGAACTTCACCCAGGAGAGTTGTGAAGATGCAAGTGATGAGGAGGAGGAAGAGGAGGAGATGGAACGAGTGGCCAATAAAGACATTTCCAAACCTGTAGCCGAGACAGAGGACTTTCTCGAGGAGGCTTCAGAGGAGGAAACACCTGAGGTGAAGAACCAGGAGAACTTCACCACAGAGAGTTCAGAATGTGGAGGTGATGATGACGAGAAGGAAGAAGAAGAGGAGGGAAATGTCCCCAGCAGCTGTAGCAGTCCGGCTCAGAGTCTCATGACCTCTGGCTACGGCACCTACAGACCGGAGGAGCAGGAGGGGGGGGACTACCGAGACGACCACACCATCACAGAGTTTGACCAAGACAGTCGAGGAGACGTGTCTGAAATGAGAGACTACGAAGAGGACAGTCGTTCACTGAGCAGCTTCGGAGGGTTTGAAATCGAATCCACGCGACAGCGAGGCTACGACGAGACTCGTCCAGAGAGCGCGTTGGAGAGCGAGGACGAGAACGAACCTGGAGCTGACAGAGCGGCGTGTAGCTCACGTGGAAGACGACACGAAGAGCTCGACGTCACAAACGATGAATCCCAAGAAAATGAAGATCTGCACACAGACTCTGAAAACACAGATGTGAGCAACGAAAGGTCGGAGGGACGACGGCACGTTGCTGTGAACAAAGACGAGTTCTGGTCTGATGAGAAGAATCCTGAAGAGGGAACAGGAAGTCAAAACCTTGAAGAGGAGACAGAAGCCGAGGACGAAGATCCCGACGAGTCTTTGAGCAACAAGGACATAAAGTTCATCGACTCCAAAGTGGATTTTAGTTGGATGGCGTACGACGATATGGAGTGGGAGGGAAACCTCCGGCAGAAGAAGGGTAAGTGGTTTCCTGTTCCCTCCGTCAGGGAGGCGACTGCAGTTTATACATCAAGTCTTCCCTGATCTCACTCCCCCTGCTGGTCGCATGAAACTCTGTTCTCTGGTGATTGCCACACAAGCCAAACTGTGGACTCCTGGGTAATCTCCTTGACGGTTATGATGTTTCTTGGCAGACGCAGCGAGCTGTCTGGAGGACGGACTGGCAGAGCTTCACGTGTCCTCGTCCACGCAACGTGACTTTGAGACGGAGAACGAAGACGTCACCGGTCACAGCTCAGACGAGGACAGGATCTCGTTGAGTGCTTTTGAATCCTACATCAGCGGCATGGTGGGTAATGTAGTCTCCCAGGTCGACGCTGTAAACGTTTAGTTGTTTTCTTCACAATACTAAAAAAATTTTTTTTATGACTTCTATGTTTTTATGCTTCCTGAATATTAAAACCTCAAGTTTGTCAGTAAATGACTTTAAACTTCATTCTGTACAGACTGACTCTCAAAGTGACTGTGACCTCAGGCCCAAACCGAAATCCTGTAAGTCAACACCCACATAATACAGTAAATACACTTTACAAGTAAATACACTTTACAAGTAAATACACTTTACAAACCTGTTTACTATCCATCAACCTCTGTATTTCCAGTCATCCGACCAGTGATGAATCAGCAGAACGTAAAGAAAACTGACCCAGTGGCCAAGTGAGTTAAACATCAGTCAAACGAGAGCCGAGGATCGAACACGTTCTGATCGCTCTTGACTCCGTTTTCTCCTCCCGCAGATATTTTCAGTACAAGCAGTTCTGGGAAACGTTTAAACTCCCGGGAGAGAAAGACCGACGAGCTCTGCGCTGGGAGATCAGGGTATGAAACATTTAGAACAGAAGAACCAGGGTCACACAGCTTTTTCTTTTTCTCTTGGTTCAACGAGGCAGGAACATTTTGTTGAACTCGTAGTTGTTCTTTTTCAGTCCATTATTGAAATGATTGCTTTGTACTCTTTATCATTGATGGTTTCTCCCTTTGTTTTCAGGATCGTCTGGCATACGAGCCTCCAGTGAGTCTTACTTCTGTAAATCTGCACAATGCAAAACGTTTCGTATTTTATAAAACTTCTCACTCACGTTTCCTTGTGTGGGTTTAAAAATCAGCATCAGACCTGAACTCTTACTTATGAACTTGTTTTTAATGTGGACGAAATCCCAGTCACATTTTCTCACTGTCGCTGTTCCACTGAACAACAGTTGTTCAAACTCTTGTTTTCCTAAACCACACATTTAAAACAGCGACGTGATTTTATTGTACGAGCACAGAACTGTAACTTTAGTGTCACCGGTCGTTCAGTGTGTTGGTAAAACATCTTTTCTAGAAAACTTCCAAAAGCCTCGTACTTGAAAACTTTGATTTAAGTCGATCTGCGTTGGCGCTGAAGTCTTGGTTTGTTCTGTGTTGCAGCCGAAACCTCGGAGAGTTCTGGTGCCCAACACCTACATCGTGCCAACAGAGAAGAAGCGTTCAGCGCTGCGCTGGGAGATCAGGAGCGATTTAGCCAACGGCCTCCTTCCTCACAAGTTCAACGATTGATTTTAAACCTTTCTCTCCTCGTCTGCCTTTTAGATACTTTTAGACAAACTTTGGATTGTTTTTTTAATCACTGGCATTATTTATTCATGACTTTTTGTACATATTTGAAATATAATAAAGACAAAGAAAACAACAGTGAGTGAATATATTACAGGTGACGTCAGGTTTTCTATGGGAAGTCAGAGTAGGGAAGTTTAAACGAGTACAGAGGCGTGAAACGCTGATCGTGCCACAGCAGCTTGTCTTCCAGAAACTTGACTGTTTCCAGAGTGAGGACGACGGCTTCGTGCTTCAACAGGCTGTGGACGTTCAGACCTGACGGAGACACAAACGTGTGACTGACAGATTCTTCGTACAGGACGTTAGATTTAAATACAGATCCTGAGATAAAATGCTGATGAGCGGAGGCAGCACTCGCTCATCAGGGATGTGGGGGTGAATTTATCATTGTGGCTTAAAGCGGGGGTCTCACCCCCCCCCCCACAGATCATGTACTGGGTCTGAGATATAAAAGAAACAACGCTCTGACTCACCGATGGCTGGAATGACGTTCACGGTCTTCAGGTTCGCTGTGGCCTGAAGAATATTTTCAGGAAACTCTTCACCTCTGAAAAGAGCGAGAGCAACGTCAGAGGAGAGCAAACGACGTTTGACTAGAATCACACGAGGCTCAGTCAACGATACTCACACATCAACGATCAACACCGACTCCCCCCAGTGTCTGTGTCTGATGAGGTCCAGCAGGTACTGAGAGTCTGGAGTGGGGACGTTCAGAGAGTCCACGATGTGAAGGTAGTCCTGCAGAAACAACACTCGGTTTACAGTAGGGACAAAACGAGAAGATCTGTCCTGAGGTTGTTCGCCTCCGCTGCAGCAAACATGAGTAGAACATCACTCAGTCTTTCCTCCGAACCTCTGACATTCAATCAAACTGCACCAAATCACACAAACTCTTAAATATCGCTTCTCTAAATACGTCAGATTTTTTTCCTGCTCTGCTGAAAACATTCTAGTTTCCTACGACTGGACGTGTTATTGTTATTTTAAACACTGAAGCGTTAAACACACACGTGCATCCTGCTGATTTCAGGTTCGTTACCTGAGCCATCTTGGAGCTCAGCGCCACTTTGAGTCCTTGCACTCGAACTTTCATGGGCAACATGTAGTAATAACTGGTCGGTCCTCTGGGTCCATGGGACACTCCGCCTGAGGGACACACATCAACCCGTCAAACCGACTTCAGACCTGAAGATTCATGAGGATCACAGGCCTCCGCTGCTCCTGGGACAGTGTTTCATTATGTGCAGCATTTACTTAAAACGTCTTTCAGACATGAACTCTGGATGTTCTCCTGAAATGATCCGAAGAAGCTCTTTGTGAGAACGCAGATGCATTTTTCGAACTTGTGACGGACGTGAAACAGAAAGAATACAAAGATCTCAGGATGTTCAAGTTCATGTCTGAAAACATCTTTATGCATCTAACTGTATTTTTGACTCGTTTATATAAAACATAAGAAAACAAACTGAACAACATTTCTCAATAAAACCAAAACCAGTCACCTCCTCTCCATAACGGTGATCGGATGCTGCCATGACGAGCTCTGCCGCTTCCCTTCTGTCTCCACGGTTTCTTGCCGCCTCCTCTGACCTCTGACCTGACCTTCGTGTTGGCGTGGCTCTGGGAGATGGAGACAACGATCAGAGACGTTTCCACATTCTGTGTGTGACCTTCGTCTCTCGCTGCTCAAAACAACGACCCCGAACCTCCGCTCAGTAAAACTAAACAGATCAAACACTTTTACTTCTAAGCTAATATTCGATGTCGCCTACAATCCAAGTCACAGATTTAAAAATAAATGTTTTTAAATTAAACTAAAGTTGAAGCCTGAAGGTTTTTTTTACAGTTCATTTTAGGACAAAACACAAATTACAAAACATTTCAAAGTAAAGCTGTAACTTACAATTCTTTTGAAATTTCTCTGCCATGTTTCGACGTTATGAAGAATATCGAGCCTGAGAGGAGAGAAAACAAACAACGATCCACCAGGATTCACACATTCACACTTTCTCCTTTTGAGACTCAAATGAAAGATTTCACTTGGTTTCATCTGAAGTTCTGGGTTTGAGGGCGACGGCTGAGAAGTTTGAAAACGGGAATCTTGAGAAGACTGAACTCCACTTTACCTCGGAGACACTGCAAAGACGTCAGGGTGGAGCTGAGCCAAACCCAAGGGCTCGCCGTCCTGCTTCTCCAGAGTCTCCACCCACGTGTGGACGGGGCTCAGGTGAGCGGGAACAACAGCATCGCACCTCCTCAGGAGAGGCAGCGAGGAATCAGCGGGAGGCGGCGGACGTTCTGACGGAGGGAACACGACAACAATCAGGGAAATAAAAAGTCTCTGTGGCTGTAAAATGGACTTTTCATTCCAGTGAGTTTTTTATGGAACCTGAAGTTGATTTTCAGAAAATGATTTGTTCCTGGTCAATATTTAAAGATGTTTTTTTTTTTAAAGTTTGAGTTTCGGTCAAACATCTCTGCAAAAGTTTATTTCTAAGAGTGGCAGTGAAATGATTTATGTTGCAGCTCAGACACATGAAGTCTCTGAGAAACTGATTTGCACAAAATATGAAGAAATCCAGAATTGACATATGTTTTGTGAGTTTAACCTTTGGCCACCAAAATGGAAACATTTAATTTGAGAGTCTAAGTGAACATTCGTACCAAATATGAAGACATTTCTTCAAGGTGCTCTTGAGATGTCATGTTCACGACGATGGGACGGACAGAAGGACAACAAACCCAAAAACACAAAGCGTCCGGCCGCTGGGTGTCTCCAGCGTGGAGAAACATTTCAGACTCACTTAATCGGGCCGGATCCACAAGGTTTGACGGCAGCAGTAAGTTTGGAGGCAGAGCGCTCTGAGCGGAGAAAGACGACGAGAACTGAGGAGCAGAAAACGTGGAGTTAGTTTGAGAACAAAACTTTAACGATAAACGATTCAGTTATGATTGAAACTCATATTTATCGATCCTTCCTGTTTATCAATCCTTCATATTTATCAATCCTTCACATTTATCGATCCTTCATATTTATCAATCCTTCTTGTTTATCAATCCTCCACATTTATCAATCCTTCACATTTATCAATCCTTCATATTTATCGATCCTTCACATTTATCAATCCTTCCTGTTTATCAATCCTTCACATTTATCGATCCTTCACATTTATCAATCCTTCATATTTATCGATCCTTCCTGTTTATCGATCCTTCATATTTATCGATCCTTCATATTTATCAATCCTTCATATTTATCGATCCTTCATATTTATCGATCCTTCACATTTATCAATCCTTCACATTTATCGATCCTTCCTGTTTATCGATCCTTCATATTTATCGATCCTTCATATTTATCAATCCTTCATATTTATCGATCCTTCACATTTATCAATCCTTCCTGTTTATCAATCCTTCACATTTATCGATCCTTCATATTTATCGATCCTTCCTGTTTATCGATCCTTCCTGTTTATCAATCCTTCACATTTATCGATCCTTCNTCAATCCTTCACATTTATCGATCCTTCATATTTATCGATCCTTCCTGTTTATCGATCCTTCCTGTTTATCAATCCTTCACATTTATCGATCCTTCCTGTTGATCGATGTGTTCGTCTCTCACCCTCTTCGCGGCTCCTCTGTTAAAAACCATCAAAGTCAAACGAATCATCTTCGGTTTGTTTGTAACTTTGAATTTTTATCTTCGTCCGGAAATAAACATTTTCACCCGAAGCAGCGAGCTCGTGTCGCAGAGTCTGAATCAGAAGGTCGCGCTCACGAGCCGCCGGCGCATGTGTTTGACGTCACAGGGGAAACACACGCGGTTGGAGGGAGTGAAACATCCGGAAGTAAAACAAAATAAGAGTAAAAGTGAGAATATAATTTTTTTTAATATAATTTTCTTAATATTTGATCCACATATGAAATTAAATGTTAAAATTTAAAGGATAAGTTTGAGTTTCCATCAAAAGCTTTTGATAAATTCAAAGTTTATTTCTCA